GTACCAACAAGAATAAATTTTCTAGTTTTGTATCTGTACCAATAACAATCAGGTTTCTAGTTTTGTATCTGTACCAACAAGAATAAATTTTCTAGTTTTGTATCTGTACCAACAACAATCAGGTTTCTAGTTTATTATCTGTACCAACAACAATCAGGTTTCTAGTTTTGTATCTGTACTAACAACAATAAGTTTTCTAGTTTTGTATCTGTACCAACAACAATAAATTTTCTAGTTTTGTATCTGTACCAATAACAATCAGGTTTCTAGTTTTGTATCTGTACCAACAAGAATAAATTTTCTAGTTTTGTATCTGTACCAACAACAATCAGGTTTCTAGTTTGTATCTGTACCAACAAGAATAAATTTTCTAGTTTTGTATCTGTACCAACAACAATCAGGTTTCTAGTTTTGTATCTGTACCAACAACAATCAGGTTTCTAGTTTTGTATCTGTACCAACAACAATCAGGTTTCTAGTTTAGTATCTGTACCAACAACAATCAGGTTTCTAATTTTGTATCTGTACCAATAACAATCAGGTTTCTAGTTTTGTATCTGTACCAATAACAATCAGGTTTCTAGTTTTGTATCTGTACCAACAACAATCAGGTTTCTAGTTTATTATCTGTACCAACAACAATCAGGTTTCTAGTTTTGTATCTGTACCAACAACAAGTTTTCTAGTTTCGTATCTGTACCAACAACAATCAGGTTTCTAGTTTTGTATCTGTACCAACAACAATCGGGTTTCTAGTTTAGTATCTGTACCAACAACAATCAGGTTTCTAGTTTGTTATCTGTACCAACAACAATCGGGTTTCTAGTTTTGTATCTATACCAACAACAATCAGGTTTCTAGTTTATTATCTGTACCAACAACAATAAATGTTCTAGTTTTGTATCTGTACCAACAACAATCGGGTTTCTACTTTTGTATTTTTACCAACAACAATCAGGTTTCTAATTTATTATCTGTACCAACAACAATCAGGTTTCTAGTTTATTATCTGTACCAACAACAATAAATGTTCTAGTTTTGTATCTGTACCAACAACAATCAGGTTTCTAGTTTGTTATCTGTACCAACAACAATAAATGTTCTAGTTTTGTATCTGTACCCTAAAAACACCGTCACCTTTTCAAAACTTCCTAATTACTCTCACCATTCTAGAATTTTCTGAGAATCCTATAAATCTTTTACAAGTACCTAAAAATACACCCTCATTATTCCACAACTTCATCAAAATACTCTCACACACTTACCAGTTCCTGAAAACATTTTTGAAAATATTGATCTCAAGGTAACAGTTCTGCTAACATTTTCCCCTTTGTTAACAGTTCCTGTAACACTTTCCCCTTTGCTAACAGTTCCTGAAAACATTTTTGAAAATACTGATCTCAAGGTAACAGTTCTGCTAACATTTTCCCCTTTGTTAACAGTTCCCGTAACACTTTCCCCTTTGCTAACAGTTCTGATAACATTTTCCCCTTTGCTAACAGTTCCTGAAAACATTTTTGAAAATACTGATCTCAAGGTAACAGTTCTGCTAACATTTTCCCCCTTGTTAACAGTTCTGCTAACATTTTCCCCTTTGCTAACAGTTCCTGATAACATTTTCCCCCCTTGTTAACAGTTCTGATAACATTTTCCCCCCCTTGTTAACAGTTCTGATAACATTTTCCCCTTTGCTAACAGTTCCTGATAACATTTTCCCCCTTGCTACAAGGTGTAAAAACATATTCATTCTCCCACAAAAACTCTTATTCAACAAGGCTTAAGTGCTGGATGCTTCATATCATTTAGAATTATAGCAGTAAATCTATAATGGATATAACAAATTATGATTCAGTTTTTACACATGTTGCTTCATCAGCAAATTTTAATGACAAACTCAACAGAAATCACATAAAATATACAGGATGTAACTAAAAAAAAACATCAAACAAAGATTTGTTCAACAAGTGTTTTCTAGTTTTTACAATTTTAATCACAAATGAACCTACATGTAAAAATAACTTACTCCTTTTAAAAATTAACTAAACATATTCTTTGAGAATTTTCATTCAATATAATTACATAAGACATTAATATATGCCAAAAGAGGATTATTGTCACCTTCTCAACAATTATATTTAACAATTTTAAAACAGTGTGTTGATGTTGTTCAGGTAGAGAAGACAAAAAAGACCTCACTGATGTTTTTCTATTGTTCTCTGTAATAAGAACAACAGAAATTACATTAGTTTGAAAACGTATGAACCTAATAAAACTTAATTACTTTTATCATTTGATAAAACAATCATATATAATACATAAACAGCCATTAAAACCAATCTGAATATAGAAGTTAGTTCGATTAAAAACCAATCTGAATATAGAAGTTAGTTACATTAAAAACCAATCTGAATATAGAAGTTAGTTACATTAAAAACCAAGCTGAATACAGAAGTTAGTTCCATTAAAAACCAATCTGAATACAGAAGTTAGTTACATTAAAAACCAATCTGAATACAGAAGTTAGTTACATTAAAAACCAATCTGAATACAGAAGTT